GAACAGGTATTTTTCATCAAGTATTGATATGTTGAACTTTAAGTCCCTCCATAATATGATAAAAAAAACATTTAAAAATTAGATTATATTTCAAAAACAGGACAAAGAATTCTACACTTCTCATGTTTGCACAAAAGTCCAAAGATCCCACCACATACAACCCCAAAGCAGGACAGTCCCACAACATTCCCCCTTCTGTCTCTCACTTTCACCCACAACCCCCCTCTTAAACCTATCTTTTTTTTTTTTTTTTGCGGAACCAGGGATTGAACTCAGGCCCTTGCGCTTGCCAGACAAGCACTTATTCTACTGAGCTATCTCCCTGGCCCCCCATGCATATACTTCTTAACTAACATACATTCAAATTCGTCTGACCTTATGCACAAAGATGAAAACAACACAAAAGCCTGGAAAGTCTGGGTGGTCAGGTGAAAGATGATGTACAGTCACGAACTGCACACATAGCAGCTGTGAAAAGGAATGAGGGATTCTTCATGTCCTGACGTGAAGATCTTTGCAGCCTACTATTAGGTGAGAAAAACTGTTCAGTGCTTTCTACACTGTGTCAATCTGCTAAATTGGTGTTGTTTCCCAGAATAAACTTTCATGTATTGTTCTGATTTAAGGCTAGCAGAAAGAGAAATTCAGGTGAGACTTGGGAAGGCAACAATGAAATAGATTTTGGCCCCAGGGGTGTTGTGGTTAGTAGTAAGACTGGGCATAATGGCCTGGAGGCAAAGTTGCCTGTGTCTGCCCTGTATGGCTCCGGGGCCTGCTCCTAATCTGTCTGTCTGTCTGTCTGTCTGTCTGTCTCTCTCTCTCTCTCTCTCTCTCTCTCTCTCTCTCTCTCTCTCTCTTTCCTGTTTGGCAGAACCATGGATTGAACTCAGGCCCTTGTGCTCGGCAGGCAAGCGCTTATTCTACTGAGCTATCTCCCTGGCCTTTTTGTTTTTGTTTTAGCAGTGCCAGGGATTGAACTCAGGACCCTGTGCTCCTAATCTCAAATGTTTACTTCCCATACTAAATGGCAAAGCAGGGCTCACAAGCAGAGGCAGGTTTCTCAAGATGTCCTGTCCAGTATTATAGTGGCCATTAGTCAGATGTTATTTATTTATAGATTTTTAAATAAGTATTTATCTTAAATGTATCGTGTACAT